CCCAGCAGGACTAAAACATGATATGGATTTCCACATTTTGATATTACTGCATGAAAACACGCAAACTCTCGCTTCCACTACTATATTAAGGATGAAACAAGCACACAACGCAATAAAACAGCTACATACATAGGAAAGATGACTGTCCTAGCAGTCATACTCTGTTGCCTCTTCATCCTGTTAAATAATACTAGCTGCAGAAGAAATAAAACAATATTGGACTTGACTGTGGTTGTAAGCTGAGGACTACACTACGGGTAACAGAAGGAACCTCTGTTTTCACCCAAAAATGTACAGTCTTTTCAGGAAGGATGTCCCCCAACAGACAGGAAAGATATAGTTTTTCATCTAAGAAGATGAAAGAAAATAAGGAAATATTATTAGTACTTGATCATTATTAATGTGTAGATAACTACAGGACATTACACCCACCCACACTGCCAGGAAAACACCCAAAAAAAATTCCCCCACAAAACACTGCAGATGAAACCAGTTTTTCCCCCTAACCCTAAGGACAGGAAAGACAAAGCCACTGGAATAAAAACCATCAAGGCATTGTGGGAAATTATAAAGGACAGTGCCAGGAAGCTCACAGAACCAGCAACCACCTCAGAATTACCTAAACAAACACAGAAACACACAAAATCTGGCAAAGCTGCCTTGCACCAACCTGGCCTGCACATAGAAAAGCAAAAAAAAAAATATGTTATAAATTTTATGTGTCTCAAAGTGGCTGCTTTTCTATGGGCAGGCCAGGTTTGTGCAAGGCAGCTTTGTGAGATTTTGTGTTTATTTCTTTAGTAAATTCACTACAGAAACACACAAATCTCCCAAAGTACATGCAAATAAAACCATTAAAAATATTCTATCCACAATACATGCAAATAAAAGCATTAAATAAAAACCAATACATTTTCAGTGCAAGCAAACAGTCATTAAAAAAACAGTTGTATGTCAAGGACTCTACCTATATTCCAATCAGGATCCACACAAAATTAAAAACAAGGTGACTTCTTCCCTTTCACAAGAGGAGGAGGTTGAAAAAACAGCTGCCCATCAAAATGCGGTGGGGAAAAAACAAAAGGTAGCTGCTGGAAATTCTGTTCCATTTATTATTGTCCCACCACATTGTGAGGAAAAGCTCTTTCTCAAGAGAAATGCTTACTCTCTCCTGTGTGAATTTCAAGCAGCTTCTCAGAAGGGTATAAATCTCCCTTGGGAAAGAGATTTTCTTCAAATTGTGCACAGATAATACAGGGAAGTATCTTTGAAAGAACTGCTGTCCTCTGACCCCTTTTTAAAAAAACTTTAAACCAGGGGTGTCCAACCTTGGCATTTTAAAACTAGTGGACTTCAACTCCTAGAATTTCTCAACCAGCATTCCCGGGAGTTGAAGTCCAAACATCTTAAAGTTTCCAAAGTTAGACACCCCTGCTTTAAATCAGATCTGGCTGGAGCCTAGAATTCCATTTGTGAATAAGGCAGACATTTTTAACATGAAACTCCAAAAGAGTCAAATCAGAGAAAGGAATATAAACCCAATGTTTATTTATTTATTTTTCAATTTCTATGGCCACCCATCTCAAACAAGTTTATACAATGCTAATAACCCTAACATAAAATTAAGCCTAGAAGCTTCATGATCTTCTCCGGGAGTGCCAAGAACTTTTCTGCCTCTACTGGACTTCGTCTTGATGATGTCGCTGCAGCTGTCAGGCATGGAAGGACGGAGGTAGCCAGAGCCACGCCGAGGCAGCCCGGTGGGTGAGCAAACAAGGATCAAGCAGCCTGATCCTCCATCACTTGCTCGCTGGCTCACCTGCCAGGCTGCCTCGGCGCCATTCGGGCTACCTCTGTCCATCCGTGCCCAGAAGCTGCAGCGACATCATCAAGACAAAGTCCAGGAGAGGCAGAAAGATTCTCGGCACTCCTGGACTTTGTCCTGATGATGTCGCCACAGCTGCCGGGTGCAGAAGGATGGAGGTAGCCAGAGCCGTGCTGAGGCAGCCTGGCGGATGAGCAAGCAAATGAGGATCAGGCAGCCTGATCCTCCCTCCTTCGCTGGGAAGTGCGGAGAAGAGCACGAAGTCCAGCAGAGGCAGGATGGTTCTTGGTGCTCTGTGAAGCCGCGAAAGTGAATGGGGAGCACCGAGAACCTTCCTGCCTCTGTTGGACTTTGCACTCTTCTCCATGCACTCCTCGCAACTGCAATAGACGTCCAGAAGTGGCTTTTGTGGCTAATGGGGTTTGGGCTTCCAGCTCGACAGCCCCCGCCGCTTCTGGACATCTATTGCAGTCGCGAGGAGTGCACGCGAAGTCCAGCGGAGGCAGGAAGACTCTCGGTGCTCCCCAGTCACTTTTCCAGCTTCCCAGAGCACAGAGGAGTGTGCCGGGAAGAGCACAAAGTCCAGCAGAGGCAGGAAGGTTCTCGGCGCTTGCAAGAACCTTCCTGCCCCTGCCAGAGGCCAGCTGCGCTGCACAAGCTACCACCCACAAGCAGCAATGGAATGGGTGGGGCAAGCGAGTGAAGGGGGCAGGGCAGGCACTCAGTGAGGAACCTCTTCTAACCGGTATGGTAGATTTCTGGAGGCTCTTCTACCAAACCAGTTAGAACCAACAGGAACCCACCCCTGGTCCTGGTGCAGCTGAACACATGGAGTGGAGAGTGAGGGTTATTTATACCTTCACTTGGGCCTTGCCTTTTAGCTTCTTGTTCCTGTGCAAGAACTGTATTCTATTGGCTGTAGCCAGATGCCCATGGGGCCATGTGGGTTCATGTTTGTCTTGAAGTGAAGTTTGGTTGAAGTCTACCTTTGGTTCAGATCTTGCTGCTGGGAGTAATGGATTACCAAATCTGCATTTCTAAATGAAGATTTGGTGATCAGTTTGGTATCTGCTTGGGGGCAGAGAAACATGTTTCTCCTTTAGGAAAATATAATATTCTGCCTTTTTTAATATTTCTCAAAATATTAGGAGGGTTGGATGCTAAGTTTCTACAGCAGAACCTATGCAGATTAGATTTTAGAATCTCATGGAAGTCCGATTTTAAATATAATTCAATAGAATATGCAACACTTTAGGAGTATACACCAAAGAGAAAACGTATCGAGTTTTGATCAAATTATCAAAATATTTAGATGGACATAATTTAGAAAAAAAATATAGAGGAATCTCAGAGAGATTTTACAGATGACTAGATCAAAGTTTATGAGCATGTCCCCTTTTCTTCTGTCTTTATTCTCTATAAAGTCACAATTGCCTGCTTCATATTCTCTGGTCTGCAGTTTCTTTCTTCAGCTCCCAGAATGATGTCAGCTACTGCCCACACGCTCCCAGTCTTTTCCTTCTCTGCATCCTCAACTGCTGCTGTGCTGCTGCTGCTGAACAAAATCCACATCATAAAATGGGAATATGGTGGCTTTGCACTTGCAGAGAATAGGTAGGGCTCGGTGGTGGGTTTCTATTATTTTTACTACTGGTTTACTCATGGATGTGCGTGTGCTCGGACATGGAGCCTCGCGCCGCCGCTACTACCAGTTCGCCTGATCCGACCCGAACTGACCGCAACCCACCTCTGGCAGGGCCTATCCTAATAGGTAGGGCCTTCTAACTCTTTTATCTTTTAATCTTTCACTGTTTTCTCTACTACCATTAGGGTTATAGGTCTACAACATCCCCAAGGAAGCCCTTCAACCTTGGCTTTTTTGCCTTGCTTTGGCTTCTCCACTTCTGTCTGGAACAATGTTATTTCATATCAAGAAGAACAAACAGTTCTGATTGCTACATAATCAAGACCATGCATGCTTCAGTTGGATAGGGAACATTTACGCAGTATTTGAACGTACTGCTTAAACTTACTGTAAGTAAGTACATTATTCTAAGTATTACAGATTCATGCAGAATATTAATGTTCATCCCTTCTTCTGTTAAGTGTTGTAAATCTATATCTTCAATATGAACATACAATTATGGAACCATAATTTATTTAGAATATAATATGTCCCTGATTTCAGAGATGGGTTGATAATTTTTTTACTACTGATTTGGGCACGCTCCAGCCCGCATGTGATGCTTCTGCGCAGAAGCGTCCGGGTGGTTGGGCAGAGCCTCCCACTGCCGCTACTATTGGTTTGGCCAATTCGGGCTGATCCGGTAGCAATCCATCTCTGCCTGATATTTTATATGGCACATAAGAAGAAATGCATTCTACTCTGAAAACTGTATTCATTCCAGCTTTGATGCCAACAAATGGAAGTGTTGCTTCTACATTTTTTATGCTGGGTCATCCCAGGCTAGATATGCAACAATGAAGTTTGTACTGAAGTTTGAATAGACTGTCTGTATAAAGTGTGTGTATACTTTGACTCCTGTAATATGGAGGGTTTTTTTGTTTTTTGTTTTTGCTTTTAGCATCGGATGACAATATGATGCAATTGAACGGGATGTCATCTACCTACACAAGCATATTTTTAGCTTCGTGGGTTACTTGACAATATGTGGCAGACATTTGGCAGTATTTAACTGTTTGATTGGCATTACAATCTTAGTATAGACTGCTCTGTATTAAGAAACAACTCCCATGTGGGTGACATTTGACTTGCATTTTTAAAACAAGACTGATTTCTATTCCCAGCTTCTATAAATAATAATTTATTCCACTGCATATCAGTCCTGGTTCCTTTATAGCTCTCGGACTTTTTTTTTTTTTTAAAAAAGGATATGATTGTAATAATTAGAAAGAAAGATAAGAAACTGTGTTGTTTCAAACACTGTGTTTAAAATAAAAACAGTAGTACAGAATATCACAATAGGCAGCTAAATATAGTAATGGATTAGAAAGCTATTGTTTCCAATCCTGCCATATAAACTCAGGCTCTTTAAATGGAATGCCACTTGACCTTTCATCAGCCAGTGTTTGTATTTAAGTGATGCAGGGACAACAGATCACCCATTGTAGGTGTCCAGTGTTGACATGACAGGCCCTTGTATTTCATGCAGTCATGTTCAGGAGACATAAGTCCAGCACTCTTGAGCACAAGAAAGATCTTGCCATCCAGGGATCAGTATTGCCTGCACCTCATAATGACATGAAAAGTTTTTTCAACTTATCCCAGCTTGTACTTACTGCTGGCCACCTAAGACCACTGCCAGTTCTTAGACATTCAAAAATCACTTACGTTGAAGTGGAGATTCTTGATGCCCACAGCAAAAAGCAGATCTGTGTAGTGGATAAGGTAAGTTTTTTAGGTGTATTTTTAACAGACATTGGAGAGTACATGTTTTTTTAAAAAAAAAATACAATATTTTGCTGTCTTAAAGATTTTATTTTGCACTGATTTAATAATTTTTCTCCTCAGAAATTGTAAATATTTCTAATTTTTCTGATTCATTAACAGAATGAAATAATACCAATAGGTGATACTTACATTCCAACCATTTTAAAAACATTTTATGTTAAATAAGGCAGACCATAATATTACTTTCATGAAAATTGTCTTTAATGATCCACTGTAATTTTTAAATAGGATTATGAATCAAATAGAGTTAAGCCTCCAAATGTCTACAGATAGGGTTTTTATTATTTTATTTCCATTATTTAAAGGTTACAGGATACCATCTGCAGCAGCTCGCTGGTTCTCAAGAGATGGAGCAAAAGATTTTTCCCTTAGATTTTGACATATACTACTTAAAATGTTTGAGCAATACTTTTAAATAAGTAATATTTGCTTAATATTACTTCCTTTGCTATGTAGTGCTTATATTTTATATCCAATTCTATTTAACATTTGCTCTTCTGATAGTTTCAGTATTATTGACTTATACTCTATAACTGAGTTTCTGGGAACTGAGTTTCTGAAAAATCATACCCTATTTATACAAAAAACCATCTCATATAATATGCTGCAATATTTTTATACAGAAAAGTAAATTTGCACTGTATTGTAGAATATTCAGAAGTGTTATAAATCCTTAAAGTTACAAATATATAAGGCACAGAATTATTATCTCCAGTCTGCAGAAATTGACAGGATGGTTGGCCTAGAGAATTTCTATGGAAAAATTAATTTATTATCTCAAGTTAATCTCCTTGTGACATAATATTTTTAAACACTGCTCATTTTCTTTTTATGAAACTTATGAGACATGAGTGAGAGTAGTGTATAATAATAAATTTTATATACTGTAGATAGATAGATGATAGATGGATATTGCTAGATATAGTTGTAAGAATGAATGAAACTACTTATCAATAGTCCAAATGCTTTCAAGAAAACATCCTAATATATTTCGTAGCAGAAGGCCCATTTCCTATGTTAATGTCTAGATGTTTTAAATCTACTTTGGCCCTGTATTATAACACCTATTTGTACACAGAACATTTAATTATCATAACAAATACTGTATGAATATTATGTATATGCATTTGCTCTTATAAGGGGCTGCTGTAATGTCTTAAATGTCAATTCTTTATTTATTTGTCTATTTTTCCTTTATCTCAAGACCTTATGAAAACAAGGATTATTAAAATACTATTTGAGTTTAATCACTGAATAAGTGATTATTGAACATAAGATCAAGTGAGAATTTTTCTGTGTTGAGGACATTTAGATTTCACCAGGTCTTAGGCATTTGTCTGTATTCATTGTGATTGGAACCTGTGACATTTAAAAAAAACATATTTCAACATAGCTTTTTATATTAGTGGAATTATATTGGTGAGCAGATCAAAACATTGTTTAAAAAATCTTCATTCTGAATAATAAAATTGGTGCAGTCTAATCAATTTACCCCATTTTAACAGAATATTTAACAAATATTTAACAAATATTTAACAAATATTTAACAAATATTTAACAAATATTTAACAAATATTTAACAAATATTTGTAACGGAAAGAAAGAGGCCCTAAAAGTGTCATAAATTGGCTGGTTTTGTCTTCTGTATATGAAACTGCTCAAACCAAACTAAATGGACTTTTGAACTCATCTTGTGCATCTTCTGTCTCTGGATCCTTAAATGTTCAATATTTTATTAGGCATATATATGGAAATACATGTGAGTATATGCATATGTAAACAAACAAACACAATTTTTTATCTTTACCCCCCTTTTTTTTCAGATGCCACCATCATCAACACTTCTTGATGTAAAACATAAGTTTCACAAAATATGTAAGCATCTAGTTTTTTTTTTTAATTTAGTCATCAAATTTAGAGACCTTACTTTAAATTAAATTACTATCTTACTATGTGTTTGGACTAAATTCATCAGAGAGTTCAGAGCAAGCTATATAGGTAGAATATTTGCAGATTAAACATGCTTCAGAAAGGGATAGTATAAAGATATCGGGTTATATTGTTTCCTTTTTGTGGTGGTAGAATTGCACACTTTTAATTATGTTGGTAAAGATGAGTTAATCAGTAGTGTTGAAAATAAACAATGTGCAACTGCTCTTCTAATATTGTAGCTAATATAACACTTGAATTCTAAATATATTTACCTCTCCAAATATTATTTCTAGCTGAATATATTTCATTCTGCTAATAAGCTCCCTCCAAAACAATGTTGCAGTATGGAGAACTCTTTGTTTTCCCATTACCTATCATTTTTTCATACTTATCTACTTCTATTTCTTCTTCCTTCCTTTTCTATCTTGTTCCTGATTAAATTGTTCACATTACTTGTCCATGATCATTCCCTTTCTGCTTAGCTACTGAGGCTACAACATTGGAAATTATGATTATCAGCAGAGACTAAAGAATCCAATGACATAAGATTGCAGAGTTAAAATGTTAATCACTCCCTTCACTAACACTTTATGCATGTTATTAGTGCAGCATGTCCCTGTTACCTGAAATGAAGCTCTTGTCAGAGATAGAAAAAGCAAGAGCCAAATTATTTTTTTCATAAAACATGAATTTTATTTTTAATATTTCCTGAACTGATATATGGAAAGACTCTTTGCTTGATCTATGCCAGTAATGGTATTCTATTTTCTTCACTACTGATTCGGTAGTGGGAGTGCATGCATGTGTGGAAGGGGTGGTGACGTATGGGTGGGTGGGCCTCGCACCACCATCACTACCAGTTCACCCGAACCGGTGCGAACAGGCAGCATACCACCTGTGATCTTTACCAATTATGATGTGCTGATAATATTCCTTTTTAAAAAAGGATATTGTAGAAGGTATAATTCAGTGTATAGGTGTAGAAGATTTGCACCTAGATTGACTATAAACAGACACTTGCAGTTTTACTCAGTTCTCAGTTTTATTAATCCTTTCTGAGTGCCCTGAGGTGTTTTTTTTTAATAAGCTTTAGGATAGATATGACATTTCTGTCAACTAATTAAAAGTTAGTTGATTAACCGTCCTCATCTTAGACCAGTGTTTTTAAACTTGGCAATGGCTGCCTAGGAAAGTCTGAAAATCGAAGGCCACACGTCTTACGTTTGTCAAATTTGAAAAACACTGCCTTAGACAAATGAACTGAATAATTTCCTGGTTTGCTTTAAATTCAGTTGTGCAATTTGTTTGTGAGACCTTACAGAAAAGGCAGTTTTGGATAGCATGGAGTTCAGAGTACAGGTCATCCAACTCCCAAAGCACTATCTTTAATCATTGACAGTTCCAGAGGAAGATCTTGGGTTGCAAAGGGCCTCTTCCTAAAAACTATTGCCACCAAGAAGAATTATAACTAGGCTAGGTAGGCTTCTCTCATGATCTACCATAGCATGTCAAATTAACATACTTCGGCTGTTTTGAATTAATAATAAAAATTCATTTTTTTTTTTACAAAGAAAGAATTGCATTCATTGTTCATAGGAAATATATTCCTTAATCTGTTTTCTTATTCCATGTTATAACAATAGATTCAAATTCAGGATAGCTTCAACATAGAAAGACTTGTGCCTTTCATTCTTAGTCATGACGATCCAAATAAGCACCAGCTTTAATTAAATAACCTACCAATTAGGATTAAAAGCATTAATGTATTCATCTTAATAAAAAGAATCCCGATGGCCAGGATTCATATTCAATGTTACAGAGGATAAATTGCAATAGCTTATAAAAGCCAAGCTAGACAAAACATATTACATATTAATGCAAAATGTAAAGCTGCCAATAAATCCATTTGTTAATGATAAATCACCAAATTATTTTCCTATGCTTTGATATATGAATCTAGTAATATCTTTGTATTAATATTTATTTATCTCTTATGAATATAAGTCAATTTCACTATGGCAAAAGACAATTCAGTCAGTAAAATACATCTCATCAATGTCACTGACTTCATTCTGAGGTTCATTTTGAAGCCTAGCCTTCCCATAATAAAATTAATGAACTTCAAGCTTGTTTCATTTTCTTAAGTTGTTCAGTTTGTGCATAAGAAATCAGAAAGAAAAGTTGTCCAGATGGTTTAGCTCATTTCCAGAAACATTTTCCAATTTGGGTAACAAAGAAATACAGAGTTGCCAAGTGATATCATTATCTGTTTTGCAGTAATTCAGAAGTGTTCCTGAGTCTTCTCAGACACTAGATGTTCATCTGTCTTAAAGGACTTTTATTATGACCTTTGCTATTTCCAGACAGAACAACCAGGTTCTGACATTTCTAGATCAATTTTACTTGCAGGGAATGTGTCTGTCTTGGCTGACAATGAAGCATGGTTTTATAGCTTCTGTTCTGGAGATTGAGCTGACATCCTTTCATCTCTCATTTAAATTTCAGTTCATATGTTTTGTGATAATATGAAACACAAGGTGCAAATTAATTTTGAATTAATATGACTTCTAGCAATATTCAATTTTATTCACCCCAAAATAATCTCTGATGAATGTGGTCATTAATTTTCTCTATCTCTCATTAAGAACTGCAGAAAAATACAGAAAAAGAACATACATACCCTAGCATTTTTAAACTCTGAATCAAGTTTAATTCAAAATTATTGGATTTCCAATATGCTAGATGTAAATGTTTTCCAAATCCACCCTTGTTACTGTCAATCCAGACATTGACCTTCTCCTCCTCCTCTCCTGTCTTTACACAATAACAATAACAAAACAACAAATAAGTAGGCAAACGATAGAAAATAAAAAAAGAACCCACATTAGTCTTCATTCTCAAAGTTCCATTTTTTATGGAGTAGGGTCTGCACTGTGAAAGTACAATGTTGCTTTTTTTTTCATTCTGTCCTTATAACTTCTCCACTAGCAATTGACCATTCCAATAATTTCCAAGAAATTCAAAATTCTGAAGAAGTTTAGATGAAGCATATCTTAACATTATGTTTGGATATTGACATGCATTTTTATCTTAATTTTTCATGACCAAAAAGATATAATTTCTTAATAAACTGGTAATTATTGGGATGATTTTTTTCTTTGTAATTTATCATGATAAAAACAAATAACTTTATATTAATTCAGATTAATAGTTTTAAATATGTTGACATAGTTCAAATTATTCATGACACGAAGCTTATCAAGCAGTTCATGCATTGCTTCCACCTCAATTTTCTGTGCAGTATTGGCAACAATTTGTAAGAACATAAAAATAGCAAAATTCAGTTAGCAGCTGGTCCTCAAAGCAAATTAAATTTATGGATTCCTATAATTAGCAGTGATAATTTGTTAATTGCTCAAATATCCCCTCATACTATAAAAGCAATAGTACTGAAAGCAATATTAAACTTCAGACTGATATTAACAAAGGCCTGGGAGTAAAGTACATTTTTCATTTATTTGAGAACAGGTCCACAATGGTACCCATCTCGGATAGGCCTGCGACTAGAACGCAGTAAGTATTCATTTTCCTTTCAAAATATTTTAAAGTCTCTTTTCCCTGAGGAAAATAATCCATCCCTACATTACTACGTATTGTATAGATTTAGGTACACATATTTTCTGTTGGAAACTCTAAGTACATAAATATATGCTTTGTCAGTACAGAAAATGCAATTTCAAAAAATGAATCATTGAAATGTTTGTATATAGAATATAGAATAACAGGAATGGTAGGGACTTTGGAAGTCTTCTAGTTTTCAGAATATGAGAGCACCTTCTTAAACATTTCTTTCTATATATTTATATTTTTCTCAACCAGAACAAAAACGTGCCTCACACTCAGTTGTCTAACTATGAATCAGGAATTTTTGTTTAGCAATATACTCTGTTAATAAGCTTTTCACTAATATTGCCAAGAGTTTATAAGCAATTTTCTACCTCTTTTAACTGAGGGATGGTGAACTGGAATGTTGAAAAAGAGTTGAGGTGCCCCCTTGGGCTTTCCATAGGAACCTCAAATACTTTTGATAATGAGAGAGGTGTGAAGGATCATATAAAGGAATTTAATTCACTTCTTCATTCTTCATCAAAGTGTTTCATAAATGCAAACCAGGCTGAACAAAGAGAATGCATATCCTTCCTACTGATCTATATAAGTATATTCCATGTTTATGATGATCCTTTCCTCCTAACCTGTATGTGCAAATGTGAAATATGCTAGTCTGTCCAATTTCCTTGCTCAAATTAGTAATAGCAAATTGGAAATTATGTGAAAAGACTTCCTGAGAGAACATGACTACCGTAACTATAGTCAAACTAGGAAAATAAAGCATTAGGCAGAAAGTATTAGAAAATATAAGATAAGCAAGAGTTGAGAAAACCTACACAGATGGCAAAGTCAGTATGCGGAATTCACAGTTCAGCAGATTCTTTGCCATGCATGTAACACAGAAAGACATGTCCAGAGAGACTAAAAGAAGGAGGAAAATTTGAGTTACAGTAGTACCTCAGAGTTATTACCCAGGTAGAAACTGTTACCAGGGTGACCTTAGTTGCATTGACTCTACAGCACCTCTGAGCCTACTGATAACAAAGGCCAGTGATAATATAGATAACAAGTTAGGAATTTCCTCTGTGTATTTCTTTATCTCTCACTTTCCTGGTTGCTTTTGTCTTCCTAGCACACTTGATATTTGATGCCCTGTTTGATGGTATGTAACTAATAAGAAAAAAGGTGGTTTTGCTTGACCAACTTTCCCCTACAATTCCACCATCTTCTTTCCTTTAATAATCCTTCCTTCTATTAAAGTTACAAAGAACTGCTGCACTAAGTTATTGCTCAAGTTACATTTTTACTCTGGAGAAACACAGTCAGAAAATACTGTGGCTTATTAAAAAGCATCCAAGTAAACACTCTATCCCTGATGCAGAATTACTATATCCTCATGCTAGCATTCATTAGTGATTTAGGGATTGATGGTACATATATTATTTGACAATTTCATTTGGTACTATAGAAAAGCAATTTCATTTGTTAGGCTTTTCTTAGCAGAATTTCTTCCTGCTCATATATGTTAACAGGGAAATATTGTCCAAAATGTAATTGTTTCCTTTTCCTGCTTTTTTTTAACAGATGGGCCATATTTAAGAGATTCTGCTAATGTAAAGAGTCTTGCAGCATCTTCTATTATTACACTGTATTTCACAGACATGGGACAGCAAGTTAGCTGGATAACAGTAAGTATAACTTTTGTAGAAGTACAACTATATATATCCACAGCCATATAATTCAATGCTAAAACAGTTCATAGCTGTTTGATTCTTCTATTGTTGTTTTCCTTTTGTTCAGTCTGAGACAGTCTGAACATGGCGCTATTGCTTTTTTGCAAGGTTCTCTCCCCCTTCCTCCCCCAAGAAATGGCTTGCCATTGTCTCCTTCCAAGAGCTAAAGTCACCAAGCTGACTTTGAGCCTAAGGCTCAAAGAACAGTAGAGTAGAGTAGAGTAGAGTAGAGTAGAGTAGAGTAGAGTAGAGTAGAGTAGAGTAGAGTAGAGTAGAGTACAGTACAGTACAATACAGTAGAGCAGAGTACAGCAGAG